TGAGGCTGGGGAGGGCCCGGGGGGTTAATCTGCCATTTCCAGTGCCAGGCCAGCGGTGGTCACGGCTCCTTGGGCCAGGAGGGAGCCGCAGGAGAGCTGCGTCGTGGGGGCAGGACCTGCGAGAACCCGGAGTCGCCTACACGTGGAGCACAACGGTGAATGTGTCGTGCACGGCGCTGCTGGGAAAGTGGCGTTGTATGGAGCAAAGCCCCCCTCTCCTGATGTAGCAATTTGTCATATTAAGTCATTTAATAATAATTGAATCCCCTTGATTAATCTCCTAGAATTAGCCAGTTGCATTTTGAGCAATTAGGGTTAATTACTGCCTCATTTGGCAGGATAGAGCCCCTGTAATTATTTCATGAACAAGATTAGGAAGTGTTCCTGTGCAGCAGATATATTCATGGCATCTTGGAGCACATGTTAGAATTCGTAATGACATAGTTAAGTGTAATTAGTAGCTAATAATCTATGTTCTGCTGTTATGCTGAGTGGGCTCATTTTGCCGTGTGGTCATTGTTCAGTGAAACCTCCTCGAAACTCTGATAATATCCAGGTTGTGTTAGTGGAGGTCTCCGAATATATGAACTGTGCTGAGAATGATCTAGTTTGGAATTAGGATTGCAGAAAGACTTTCCTTTGTTTTTGCTGTTAAAATTAAAAAAAAAAAAAGGCTGGATAACAAAAATACAGTCTCCCAGAGAATAGAAAAAAATGCCTCTCCTCAGCAAACTCAGCTTAGAATTAACAAAAATGGTACTATTTGGAAGGCAAACCACCTTGCATTGGTGGTGCACCAATTGCTTATTACATATTTCTGATTTTCCATTTGACAGGAACACAATTATGTATCATTTTCAATTTTCTGGTACCTATTGCCTGGAAGAATCCAAACTTACATCATTTCTTTCTGCTGAACAGATAGATAATGCAGGCGTGCTGTAGAACAGCTTGTGGAGGAAGGAGAGGTTTGGGAAGGAAAAATTGGCCTAACTTGTCTTAGGAGAAATGTAAAGCATGGCAGGGATAAAAGCTCAAGCAGAAAAAACAAAACTGGAGCTTTTGGAGTCTCAAACAAGGCAAGTTCTGTGTATGGAGTGGCCCTCTCTTCCTCCCAGCCCTTTCATTCGAAATGTCTGTGTCACCCCAGAAAGAGCAGAGCAACCGTGTGCTCCTCTAGTAGAGGCTTTTCCTATAATTACGCCGCTTCCTGAAGCTTTTTTTTTTATTTCTGCAGAGGTGTTACTTCTGTTTTATAACTCATTATTGTAGAGCTATGACTAAATGTATCAGATTTTTCTTTCTGTCTTCAACGACCATAGTTTGGTAATAAGATGACACTTTAGAGTAATGCTTCATATTTAGAAGTTTTCCAATTAGAGTAAGTGAATATATAAATATAAGAAGGGCCCAATAAAACCATAGTTTAGCTGCTGGCTCCCTCACCTGCCAACCCTTCCCCTGCTGAAGTTCATCAGGAAGAGGATGGAACATTTTCTAGGAATGTTCCAGAGTGAAAGTGTCAATTTGAAGTCTCTAGATTACTTGGTGTTTATAGCAGTAAGTGATAAAAGTTATTTAGGAGTAAATCAGTGATATAAAAATTCAGAGCTATAATTTTTGGCTTAGTTTTCATACTATATAAACATAGTAACTCATTTTAAACAACCCTTTTATAGACTCACACAGCCTAGCAGCAGAGCTGTTCGTGATAGTTTCATTTTGGTCTGCGACTTGAAGGTAGCTTTGAAGTGGTCACCAAGCAGCAAAGGCCCTGCCGTTTAGTGTGTTCCGAAATGCTTAGGTTATTTCTGTGTTAATATTAAGATCTTGGGGAGTATCTCCTTGGTCTGCTATTTCAAGCTGGTGTTTCTCTGCTTCCTTGTCATGAACTAGTACAAATATGTGCTGATAGGGGTGTTAAAACTTTGAAGTTTCTTCAGCAGATTTGAAGTTCTAGATGACAGGTCAGGTGAGGAATACTTTGTGATGACTGTGTAGTCTGGTTTTGAAGCTGCAAAATGAAAATCCTGATCTGTTAGTCAATAATTACTTGACTACCTGTTTGAAGGAAAACCCGTATTTTAAAAGTTTCCTCATCTCCTGTGAGCTTAGAAGGTTTTTTTAATCTATCTGTTCTAATGTGTTCTCATAAATTCACACTGGAATTTCAAGCTCAAAGGATGCAACGTTCTTTGCAGGTAGGCATTACTGGAGATGGGTGTCTAGTTTGGGACATCGTAAAGAGGTTTGAAACGCTGGTGTTGGTAGTAAATCCTTGCTTATAATGTATCCGTCTTCAGCTGGAGGGGCTGAAGCTTCCCCGTCTGCTACCGCAGATGTCTTTTAAAGGTGAAATTAGTTTGCGGTAAATGTCATTCAGATGAAGTATGCACTTCAGAAGCAAGGAAACTGTTCCTTTAAAATTAATGATGCATTGCAAATATCAGAAAAAAACTTATATCCAGCATAAAGATAATTAAAATTCAGGTCAGAAGTATATGACTTAGTCGGGCTAAATTTTTTAATGAGATTTCAGAAAATTAATTGGGCGAGTATGTTTCTACTTTTCTAAAGGATATTTCATTTCGTGGTTCTACAGGAAAGATGCTGTTATTGGCATCTAAAGATTGTAGTGTCTGACTTTTTAACTGTTGGTTAACCAATCTTTAACAATTTTTAGCTTGATTACAAATAATCTAAACATCTCATGACCTTGTAGCTGTTTGTGCAGGATGATGACGAGTGCCGGTTTTCCACATGCCAATCAGACAGCAGTAAAACAACTGACTTTATTATTAATTAACATTAGCACTCTGCATTTATGTATCGTGCAGTTAGCAGAGAACGTTCCCCTTTTTTCAGCTCATTCAGGCTTTTTTTCCCCGGGTCTCTGGGAGAAGCAGTCCTGCAGGCGTTGCTTTGCAGCACGGTGGTGTTTCACTGGTGGCTCTGTCTCAGGCCAGAGGCTGTGCGGGGGGTTCTCGGGGCTGCGCAGGTTTTCCCCAGCTCTGAAGTAATTACAAAGGGATAAATTTATTGGCCAAACGTTAATTGTTCTGGAGAGTGACAGTCTTTCTACAGAACAGTTTTTTCTTATTTTTCCTTATCCCAAAATATAGATTCTGAGCTGTGCCATTACTCATTTAAAAATTACAACAATTCTGTTCAGGCTGTGTAGCTGTCCTGCCTGCATGTGGTTATAGCAGCGTGTGAAGGGTTTGGGGGAAGTTGTATTAAATCTCCAGCTGTAAATTTTGGCGTGTAAAACTACATCCCGTCGCTGGGAGCAAGCAGATAGCAAGGAACTTTGCTAATGCTGTCATCCTCCGTATGTGCCTGGGCTGCTTTATAATCTGGTAGACAGAGACTCCTATTAATCTTCAAGTTTCTTATCCTTGCAGCATATCTGTACAAGATAATACAGCTGAAGTTTTTATTTCATTGAATTTTTTTAGTATCACAAAACCTTATTAATCCTGTTTTGCAGAAAATCCCACAACACCTCAAAATTTCAGGCTGCAAGTTCTGGCAAACTTCTCCATTAAGCATTGTGATGAGGGCTGTCGTTGCATACGTTTGCCAGCTTTGAAATTTTAATTCTCGCATCAGTGATTGCATCTAAAAGAGAACATGTATGCCAGAGATGTTGTCCAGAATAGCTTGTTCTTGGAATAATCTCTGCATTTCTTCTTAAAAATGAATAGCCTCTTTATTTGAATGAAGAATTAACGTACTTTAGTCTTTGGCCTTTTTTTTTTTTTTCTTTTAATGGAGTAGTAGAAGAATGAGACTTCATTGTGTGGATGAAGAGAACAGCCTTTCTCTCCAAACTAGTTTCCCCCAGGCTGTCCTGGGAACAGAAGTGTGCAAGCAGCCCAGTGGTCATCGTGTCTTTGGAGGTCGAGTGGTTGCGGTTGTTTTTTGTTCCCCCCAGCCCCATAGTTTGGGTTGGTTTTTTTTTTTAATTTAAGCTCCATTTTTGACCTTAAACCCTGTTCTGCAGAGACAGTGGCTTGGTTTTCCTGCGTTCATGCAGACCTGAACCCTTCGCTGAGCCTGTATCTGTCCTGAAAATGAGAAAATCTGTTTTTTTATTAACAGATTTGAAGATGGTGGTGGCGACTAATTTTACACACAAGTTGTATCTGTGTATGAAAACTCTGAGATTTGCAGAAAACAAAGGTCATGGTTCATTTGAATGAATAGGTGTTGGTTCTTTGACAGCTTTCTGAAAAATTGTGGTGATTAAATGTGGAAGGACTTGAAATAAATGGAGTTACCCTTGTCAAAAGTCATGAAGTAAGTGAAATGTATGTAAGGCCAGACTACAGGGATGATATTCTGAGGAGGTAGGTATTTCTTAGGTGTTTTAAATGTGTCCTTGTAACACTATTTCAGAGAGTTACTTGCTTGCATTAAAGTACGGTGAAGCGTAAGAGAAGGTTAATTTTGACGTGTGGGAGAATGAACTGCCGTAATCAGTAGGGAGCTTTCTGGTATGTTCTCATCTAACCTGAGCATGCTCTCCGGTTTATCCCGTAATCAAACATCTTTTGGCCTGCATGAAAGCTCCATTACTTTAATTAGGTCTGATAGGTTGTGATAGCAAATGCAAATCTAGGTCATTGCATATGTAAATGTGCAGCTGTAGTCCTGGAGGATGCCAGAACATATCAGCTGAGGTGTCCAGTCGTCACCCGGCATTAACTCCAGCACGGCGAGCAGACCTCCTGCTAACGGTGTGAAAGTGGTGAGGACACGCGTATGCACCCTGTCACTTGCTGAACATTTATTTATATTTTCAAGTTAAGAAGTTGCTAGATATTTCTTGGCACGTACTTAAAATATTAATTTAGACTTAAACACTCGTGGTTTAAACAAGCATTTTGGTGATTAGTGAAGGGCAAATGGGTACCATCCTTGACTGCGGCATGGATTTCTTCCTTAAAAAGAAAGTTTTGTGGTAGTTGCTTCATAAAGTCTTGTTAAAAGTGCTACCTCTTGTGAATGATAACTCAAGTTAGAAAAGCTTTTGGTCAAACTTTCTTGCTGCTTAAGAAGAGCATGGCTCAAGAGGCACACTTTCAGGGTTAAGGAAATGCTTTGACTCCTTTCTATTTTTAAATTAGGAAAAAGTGTTTTGAAATTTTATATACTGACACCTTTGTTTTGGCTGAGTAAAGCCATTTGACTGGACAGCTCAATTTGCTTAGTAGCTCATATGTAAAAAAAAGTCAGGAAATGGAGGTGTTCTGGCTAGTGAGCCGTCAGGTGGGACAAATCCTGGTGTTCAGACGCGCTTCTGGTGAGTTCGACACACCAGAAATGCGTGTGAACTAAAGTTCTGTTAGCACTCCCTGGAATGAGGTGAGTATTCCTGTACTACTGTGATGTGTATGGATGAGTGTCACTGTTACCAAATCTCTGCAAAGAGAGATTGCAACCAAATTAAACTGAGAAAGCTGCAGGGGCCGAGAACTTTGACTATTTGCTTGTCTGGTTCATCCTATGTTGCCTTACTTTGTTGATAATTTAGTAACTTAAAGGGGAATGTATGTAAATAATAAAGCAGTGTTATCTTAACATTCTGCTATTTATCTGATGATATTCATGAGTGAAAGGATAATGCTCCCATTTTATTGTATAGTATACACTGCAAAACTTAGAGAAATGAATCCTGAATGTTCATTTTAATTTTTGTTTTGCTGTGTTAGGGCTTGTAAACACAGTAGAACTTCCAGCACAGCACGAGTACTGAGAGGAACCTTCCTGTGCTTGCTAACACGAGCATTGGCTGCAGCCCACGGTGGCAGGGCGGTAGGTTAAGGTGGGTCCTGGGGCCGCTTTCAGAACGTAGGGAGACGAAAGGGATCTTAAAAGGGGAGCAACATTTCCTGAATTGTTTAAAGAAAATAACTTGACGAAGTTAGCTTCCTATTTCTATGTGACTCGTCCACACGAATATTGCAAATTCTAATGCAGCCGTATTATTTATGTAGGTTACCGTTCATGAATTCAGATTTTTATTATGTCATCTTTAGCCTAGAAAAATGAAAACCTTTTCTCACAGTATGAGAATACTGAACTGTTCATGGTGATGGACAGAAAAGCTTACCTGTGGCAAGTGTCATTGCATCTGAAGAAGAGTGGGTTTGCTCTTTTAGGGAACTTAAACCGAGAAAGCTGTTGATCATGATGGCCTGGAGCTAAATTTCCAGTTATGTGTCTGCTTAAATCAGCAGGCATTGGCTGGATGTTATGGCTGTTGCGTTTTTGTCTTCTCTGGAGCTCGTGGCCGTCTGGTGTTCAGTTTAGCAGCAGCCCTCTCTTCCCGTAACCGCAGAGCTGCGTCCTCGGTAGGTTCCCAGGGCGAGCTCCAGCAGCAAACAGCCTTCCACGGCCGGAGAGGGGCGGGGAAGAGGACAGCAAAAAGCCCTGGTGGCGTGTTCACTGTCTGGTTTGTGATTTAATCTGCATCTCTCCGTCGTCAGCCTGTATCAAATGTCGTCGTTTTTCCTGACTCTGCCAGTGGTAGAGTAGCTTTTGTGGTGGGGATTTCTCCTGCGCTTGCTGTGATAAAGATGCTGTAAAAGGTGACAGTGTTTAAAATTGCTTGTCTTGGTTGATTGATGCAGTTTGTGGGTCAGAAATTACTATTTAGGGCACTTTATTGGTGAGTTTTCTTAAAAACATTGAATTTTACAACTTTTACAAAACCTCTGCCAGACAACTGTGACGGTAGTTTGGAGTTGCACAGACGCTGTGAAATCTGGAAACCTTTTCAAATGTCTGATACTTTTTATTGTTTGTTGAATAGTAGTCATTTTTATTGCTGTTCCAAAGAGAAGTAGTCCAAACTTACTTGTCAGAATAATACACGCTGTAAGAGATCCTCACACGGTCTTGTCTGTAGTGCTGGCAAAAGATGCGGGACTGAAAGCTTGACCTGCATTTTAAATCTTCCTCCCAGCCCTCTGGATTAGCAAATGTCAATGGTAGCCACAGTCGCCTCCTTGAAACCCCCAGCCCTATTCACCTGTGCCCCGTGGCAGTGTCCAGGGGAACCCCCCCTTCTCCTTGTTGTGTACTTTCTGGTTTTGCCATGGGAACTCTGAAATGGCTCAAGATGCTGAAGCTTAAAAATACTCTTACTTAGCATGTGTGGCAACTCTGAGTAATTAATTTTCACAATTTCTTTTTTAAACATTGGTTAGCAGTCACGTTAATCACCGAAGAGACCAGCATGGCTCTAGGGAGCAATTCCTAGTCCGTGGGGTCCGTAGTCCTCGTCACGCCGTGTCTGCCTGGCTGTGTGCCTGAGACCGCTGGGAGGGAGGCACTGGCATCTCCCAAGTGACACAAGCAGGCAAGGTTGATGAGAGGGTGGGTAACTAGGGAGTCAGTAGTTTGGGACTAATTAGTTACTTGCACGGAAGGCAAGACTTTATTTCCTTTCTAAAAAAGTCATTTAACTTAGTTCAGCCCATGTTACTAATACATTTACTAGGAATTGTTGCCCTTGTGGTCAGAATTATCTGTGGACTGATCAGCCTCGATTAAATTCTTGACCACCAGAAGTGAGAGCAGGAGGGTGAGCGCATTTGGCGATCTTACCTGTGTTCTGTACATGTTTGGTAGCTGTTACTCGTTGTATGCTTTGGTTCGTATTTTTACGCGAGTCTCCGCCGTTGTGCGCGTGTGTCTGCGGCCGGACGCCGTGCGTTAGGTTGGGACTGCTCTGGTGCAGCGTGGTCTGGAGCGGACGAAGAGAATTGAAGGTGGGAGAAGGAAAGCCATACTGCTCTTGTCCACTGTACACCAAGTCGACAGCCGTTTTCTTTGTCTTGCTTGCTGGGCAGTCCGTACTGTGAGGAATTCGTCCTCCTGGATATGATCAGTCGTAGAAACGCTGGCTTGCGGTCAGGAAGAAGACGGGCTGGGAATGCAGGTTCATGGGTTTGTGTCACACTTTCTGCTTCATTGATACGATTTCTTTTGACTTGAACAGAGGCATTTAACATCGTACCCGTATCGCTGCACACTGGCGGATTTTCAGATAGAGAAAAAGATCGGGCGAGGCCAATTCAGCGAAGTTTACAAAGCAACTTGTCTGCTGGACAGAAAACCCGTGGCACTGAAGAAAGTTCAGGTGAGCACTGAAGTTCAAAGTCTTAATGTTTAGCAGATTACTTTGAGTCAGGTACCTCCTCCAGTGTTCCTTTGTCAGCAGTAATAATGCAATCAAATGGTTTATAAATTGAGAGTTTAAGGTTTGAGAGCCCTGGATAATCTGGTTTGATATTTTTACATTAAAAGAACCCAACACTGCTGTCTTCCTCTGTTCAGTTGGGGTGTACTGTGTTATTTCAAGATAAGGAATAAAAGAGTAATGCTTCTGAAGGTCTCAGTGCGGGTTTACAAGCACGGATGAAGTCAGGGTAGTTTCATGGTGCTCCCTTTACCTCTGGATACCAGGCCAAGCAGCCCCTCGGCCGTGTCCACCCCTCGGCCGTGTCCTCGGCGGCTGTCTTGGCCGTGTGCCCCTGTGTCCTGCGCGGGACCCTGGGTCCGGTGTGTGCAGGGTGTTGGCGCTGCATGGCCCATACCCCTCGTCGCCTTGGAGTGGGTTTATGCTTCTACACCAGAATTATGTAGCAGTAGTGCAATTTCATATTTTTAATGTCACTTTTTACTTTGTGGAAAGTGTTCACTAAATGATTATAAAATGTGTGTGAAGGGGCAAGGCCGTCATGGCCGTGGTGATGCAGCTGGCAGACCGCTGTCTCGACGCGGGTGAATCATGAGAACACAAGAAAATTTCATGCAAGCAGTATGGAATTGCAGCTTAGCTTAAAGTGTTGTGCAGTGTTCCAAACAGCATTTGGTTTGAAGAAATTTACCTGTATTCCTTCACAGATCCATTAAACTCGGATTCTAGTGACTTACTCTGATTATTACAGAATGAATATTAATGCTCAATATTATTGATAATTATTACAGAGGAACCAGTGGAAGCTTTATCTGTGTTTGAAAGAAAAAAGTAAACATTTTATCTTTTCTGTTTATCATGTGAAATTAATAGTAACTAACTATGCTGTGACAATCACAACAGCAAATTCGCAAACTAGTGTCTTTGGGTTTTGTGCTGCTTAGAATACTGCCTATAGGTTGGAGAATTAATTTTACCCTGTTAGTGGTTTCAAAATACAGAAAACACTGATCTTTCTTTGGTCTGGGGATTGCGTGTATACTCATTGCAGTAGAGGATATACAGATTGGGGGAGCAAAGACCAATTTTTGTTAACATATGAAATTCTTTGTTGTTATTGTTTCATTTTCGTCTTCTATGTTTTTGTCTTTGAAGATTTTTGAAATGATGGATGCCAAGGCTAGGCAAGATTGCATTAAAGAAATTGACCTCCTGAAGGTAAGGATTTCTACAAGGACTCTTTCTGAGTTTTGGTTTGAGAAAACAGTTGTTTTCAGGTCGGCGGCAGTCGTGCTGGCGTTGTGGCATACAGAGCTTACCTGGCACCCACGAGGAGCGAGAGGGACCGTGCTTGCTTTTGCAGGCAGAATGCCTACGTGATGCAGGAGTTTCGTCTTAAAGCTGAATTTACAGAGTTTTCTGCCTATGGTCTAAGGAATCTGTGAAAAATCTTGCCGTCGTAAAAAACACCCCCGGTACTTCGCTTTCAGAGACACACGTCATTCTGCCCTTTATGTGTTTTGTCTGTCAGTTTAAAATAAACTAATTAATGAACTGGTTAAATGGGAAAACAGTTTTGCAAATGCATGTCGTGTATGTATATGTATACCTATCACCCATGAAAAATGGTAGTTTCGATAAAGGCTCTGAAACTAGAGAGTCGTTTTTAAGTGATCAGACCAACCAGTGATTTTTTTTCTGTCTCGGTAATTTATTTCAAAATGTTGGTAGAAAATATATAAGCATTGCACTTTAAATATCTGTTTTAAGTAAATGCAACAGATTGCAGAAGGCTAAAATTTTAGTGTAGCTAGTCAAATCTAATTTTTAAAGTATTAAATAATTCATTTTGAGAATGTGATTTTAGGTATTTCTATTTAAATTGTCAATTTATATGCATGCAGTTATAGACTAAGCTGGAGTCCGCTCCAGCAAAGGTGTACAGGATGAGTGTGAAGACAGCAGTTTGTGTGAACGTGATCCAGTTGCTTAACAGTCATGGAGGAAAATAATGCCAATATTAACATTCAGAAAAAGAATTTGTGATATTTTTGGGTTCTAGGTAACCTAAGAGGTTTTGTCTTGAACCCTCATTATGGAAGATGTCATAAACTTGCACGGGATTGATTTATTCAGAGCAGAATGTGCAAATTTATTAGACTCAGAGGAAAAAGGAAGCAGTAGCCAGCTCCTGTCCGCCTGCGGAGCATGGCCAGAGGCAGCTTCCCCTTCCTGTGTCAGGCTCGCCGGGAGCCAGATGTGGGGTTACCGGGGCGGCTGAGTTGTGAGAGCGAGGGCGATACATTGAGCTAAATGGGGTTAATAAAACTGGATTATTTTGCACAATAGTTTATAGAAGACTAGGAAACATTCTCAGGCATTAATTTGGTTCGGGGTGGAGGGGCGAGCAGGCATAGTTGCTGACAGTCTGCAGAAACATACGAATATCTTGTTTACTGTGCAAAACATTGTGGTGCTGGTAGTTTAATTATTGTTTATTGTTGAAAGTCAACAAATCTTCCTGCACGGGCAGTTGGGTAGCACCATCCAAGGAATCTCAAGTTTGGGTATGTTAAAAGGTCGGTTTGAATCCTGGTGTATTATAGATGCAAAGGTGATATATTTCTTGCATTGCGTAGAGTTCACTGCCTGCAAATAACTGCTACTTTTCAAGTCAGAGCTGACAAAATCTGCTGAATTTTATCCGAGATGTGTGTAGCTCCTGAGCAGATCAGCAGATAATAGGTAAAAAGTCACCAAAGCTGAAGTTGCTGCCATTGGAGCGGCGTTG